AGCAGGACTCCCTTCCCAGGCAGCCCTGAGAGGAGCAGAACAGGTACAATCCTCTCCTACCTTGCAAACCCCCCCGGCAGCCCCCCAGCCCCTGCTCTGACTGACACCTCTCGCTCTCAGGCACGCAGTGCCAGCCAAGCCATTGTTTCAACAGCACACTCAGGAAAGGTAGTAACAGGAAAAAAAAACAACAGAGAATTGAAAAGTAGCAAGGCACATTCCCTTCCCCCCCCTTCCCCCCCCTCATGTCTGTTGCACTGGAGTTTTGATTGTTTGCTTGCTTGTTTATTTCTGCTGACAAATAGATACAGGGCTGTGGGACCAGGACCACACTGTGGCCACCAGCAAGGGTTTCACAGTTGCTGTGTTTCACAAGATCCCTTTACAATTGCCTTGGCTGCAGAACCAGCACAGACTGTTTGCTTTCCCTCTCTCTGTTTGCTTCCATTGGCTGGAACCAACCTTTTTCCAGTTCCTTCCTTTTCTGGCATACCAGTTAACACCAGTTAACACCAATAATATTGATGCCTCAGCTTTTCGGCCACAATTGTGAAGAAAACAGATTCTCGCATCTGCTGAGCTGTGGCTTTTCATGATCAACTGGCTACTGATGATGCTGCAAAACATTCCTCATACCAATGCCACACCAAGCAGCAAGTCTTGGGATAAAATATTTCACATTTCCACTTAAGGGGAAATTTTTCCTCAAGACCTTATGTAAAGAAATATTTATCACCCTAATACAGTGGTTTTGGAACAGGGTGTAACTTAGTGAGAAGGTTGAAGCACAGGAAGCTCCTGGGTACCTCTGTGGCAACCACAGCTCAACATGGCAAGGGTGCACTGCCCTCTGGGCAGCTCAAACACAGGTCCCCAGAATAATGATATTTTTCTTCATTTTTTTCCTTGCATTATATTTTGTGCTGTGTGCTGGCTGCTTTATCATCCATGAAAGTTAGGTACACCCTGAGGTTACCACAGGGCGCAAAGTTAAGCTATCACTGTGTCACAGCTGGCATAGACACCATGAAATAAAGGCAGAACTAGGGAGGAAAAATGGGTTATTTGGCCTTTATTTTCAATAGAAGATTTGTCTGCTGGGTTTCTGAGTAAATAAGTAGGTAAACATTTAAAAATCAGTCTAGGCTCTGGCTTCTGAGGGGAACGTAGGTAGCCTGAACTCCAGGTTTAAACACTGTTAAAAGAAATCCCACTGTTTGTCCAAAATAGCTTTTTTTTTTCCTTTTTTCTATTAAAAATGAAGAATGGAGTTCACTGGTGTACTTGCTTAACATTCATCACTTCAAATCTGTTCATCACAAGATATGGGAACTTGATGAAAAGTAGCCTTTTCTTTTTATTACTTACTCCTGCGAGTAGTATGCTTCTTGTTCAGGGGAAGGTGCAGTTCCTGACAAGCTTTTAAGTTCTCCCAAAGTATACTGGTGCCAGCAGCTATACATAATTAGTATATTTAGTTGAAGGACTACATTTGGAGGAGAAGTTTTGAACAGAAAGGGCTACAGTTACATTACACCCCTCACTTCTGTCAAAATTAGTAATACTCTATAGCTGATGAGTCCGATTCAGCTCACAGCTGAAGGACACTCTGCAAGTGTGATGGGAGTGGAGATGGCTGTCCAGGCTGTCTTCATAGAGATTTGCAGGATCAGTTATGGGTGGAACTGGGGGAATTAAGGGACAAAGACAGGCTGTAGAAGTTCTTCACACATGCATGAAGGAGCAATGGACACTTCCAGTCCCATCAATGCTGTGCTGCAAGCTTGTCTCAATAATTCCATGCAGTAGTCCCTATTTCAGCAAAGCAGCCTCCTGTCAGCTGAGTGGGAAAAACTAATAGTAAAAGTAAGTAGTCAGTTCTTGCATACCTGGTTGCCTAAGGATGGGACAGATTTTCTGCATGAAACTTTCTGTAACTCCACATGTACAAACTTAAAACTGAGAATATCTGAATAACCCTGGTGCAAAGAGAGCACGGGATGGGGGAAGCCCATCATCTGTTCAGGCCATTCAGGATGCCTCACTTCTCTCTTGGGCATTCCCCCTTAAAAACATCCCCCCTTTCTGCCAGAGCTTGCCATGAGCCTGGAGAGCCTCTTATCGATTTCCTGTGAAGCTGAACCTGCCCTTCAATGGGACACTGAACTGAACTCTCTTTTTCTCTCAGTTCCTCAGCAGGCAGTGGGGATCCCTGCCCCGGGGCCAGCCCTCCCCAGGCAGCAGCTCTGGGCAGGAGGAGTGAACCCCAGAGCACCTCCAGTGCCACAGGTCTGGGAGCACAGCTTTGCTCCCTGGCAAGCTGCCACAGGTATCTGGGCAGTTCTCAGGCTTCTCCAGGACCATTACATAAAAAGGCATTTAGGAGGTGGGAACAAGTGTGTAGCTATGGAGCTAGCTGAGTTTGCAGAGAGCGGGTGCTCGAACAGAGCTGTGGGTTATATGAGGCATGGGCTGTTAAAGGAGGTCGGTTACACCACATTGTAACAGAGGAATCTTGTCACAGCTGAGTTTAATCTTTGAAAAGATTTCCTCTCCTTCCCCAGCCTAAACAGCCTCTCATTTTTTCCCAAAACATCAGAATGATTTCTTTAAAAGTTGACATTACTTTTTGCACATACCCCATGAGGAAACAACACCTCTCTGGATGTGGCAAGAAATTGTTAACAGCCCTGATAGCATCCCGTGTTGCCTGAGAGGTGGACATTTTACATGGAAAATACATTACACGTGAAAGCAGACCTAGGCTGACTCATTTAACTCCGCAATAAAGGCACTGCCAAAACCAAACTCCCCACTGGAACCGGTGCCCCTGTGGCATCTCTGGGGCAATTATAGTGTCTTTTGACAATTTTTCTTGTTAAGCAAACACCAATAAAGAGTGTATCATGCCTGCTCTACTTAAGGAAAAAATGTTTAGGGATTGTCCCTCATGGAAATATTGCAAAAGCTACCAGCTTTCTACCTCTGCCTTCCCTCCCACGCTATCTGCAGGCATTTAGTGTATTAAAACAAAAACAACCAAGACAAAACAGCAAGTAATGAAAGAGAGAAAGAGCACAAACAAGAAGCCTGCAGCACTGCCAATTTATACAACAGCAATTCCCACTGGGGACAGCTTGGACAAGTTGCCTCACTGAGGCCAGGGGGTATGTTGAGGGCATCCAGGGGATCCTGCACCAGGACCAGGACCAGGATCAGGACTAGGACCAGGACCAGGATGGGGCAGGCAGCCCCTGTATGCAGCTCATCTGTGTCCACTCTAACCTTTCCTCCTGCTGCAGTCCAGCCTCTGGCCACTGCTTCTGCTGAAGCTAGTAGGGATGGAATGACTCCTAGCAGCTCTCAAAACCAAACCTTTGACTCGATATAACTGAGGCGGTCTTAATTTTCCCACAAGTAATTGTCATGAGAGAGAGGGTGGCTGCCCTTTCATTTGCTTGCAAAATAGCACATGCATCTATGTCGTGAAAAATCCTGACTCCCACTGTCACAGACTGCAAAGGGCTGCCGTGGCTTTTTTCCTCTCTGCTATTTCACACCACAACTCACTCGTAATTTACAACAACAAAGCAATGCCGTGTATGCGTGCTTGGTGCCCTAACTTTAGATGACACAACAAACACTTCAAATCCTTCCCTTCTGTGTGCCTCCTCTCTTACAAACCTGTGTGTATGAACACGGGAGAGAAGAGAGAGTGCAGGGGAGAGAGAGACCCTTTAAGCTAATGGGTAAGGAATGCGCACTGAGCTGTGCCTGGACGGCTGATGTCTCCAACTACTTGTTAAAAGGCAAAAGCAATACTTCCGACAGACGGCCCTCCCCTCGCCTGCAATAGGCTCCCAAGAATAGCAACAGGCTGTGTCACTGCAAAGGGCAAAGCCTTCTGAAATAGCAACAAAGTTGTTCACAAACCACTTTGTGGTTTGCCTTTGGTTTCAGCCAGCTTCAGCAACTTGTTGCCATGAGGAAAATAACCTGCGCTTTCCTTGGCAGCCAGGGAAGGACCGCTGCCCTGTGAAGTGCTCCTGCCCCAAGGTACAAAGAAGGTGGCGATGGTATCTGGGCAGAGCACGGAGGACCTCGGCCAGCAGAGCCAGAGGATGAGAGCAGGGGAGGATGAGGAGAGCAGCCCGGGCAGCCGCCGCCACCCCCTCCGCAAGCTCCCGTTTTTTTCGGGTAGCGCTTCTGGAGCTGGATGCCAGCTGCCAGCCGGCAGCAGCGTGCCCGCTGAGCTAATCCTCGGGGCCGGGGGAAACAGCCCTGCAAAGCCAAGGGACTCCTGAGGCACGCTGTCTCAATTTCTGAAAGTGTGAGAGGGGAAAATGTGAGTAAGGAAGGGAAATGACGGCTTGAATTTTGAATGAAAGTTGATGTGATACTTTTCCCAAAAGGCCTCAGTCCTACTTAACGTGCATGTGCTGTCTGCTGTGTAAATCCCTTTCCTTTATGAAGATCAATCACCTGAAAAATCAGAGAACCCGCTGCCGTCTAAGATAACAACAGGGCTCTGGTCCTGGCATGCTCGGGAGCGATTCAGCCCTTTTCACTTAAGTGGAGGCTGGCCAGATGAGCAATGCACCTGCTCATGCAGGGGGAGAGGACGGGGTGGGGGGACGGGGACTCCCTCCTGACTTTTCTCCCCTAGCATTTCATGAAGAAACAGAGTTTCTGTACTTACATCCTGAAAAATCAACTGTATAATTTCTTATGCAAAGATATTGGAGTGCTGGAGCTGAATTTCACAGCTCGTCACCTTTGCTCTTCTACGCAGCCAGTTTTTCTAAGTTACAGCATGGTTTTGCATCTTGAGTGTCTTTCACTGATGATAAGATCAAGGGGAAAATGACCCACGATAGTGACATTTCTCACTCACAAGACAGCTTTACCCAAACAGGAAAGCAGGATTGTAAACTAGCAATTACTATGTCCTGAGCAGGATTTGTTCACTTAAAAATGAATGAACTGACTAACCCACATACGTTCAGACACCATGGGCACAAATGCTTTGTTGGAGTGTAACAGCAATCAGTCCAGCAACGTCTACTGATACCTGGAAGCAGCGGAAGCAGAGGTTAATCAAGAACAGAAAGCCAGTGGGTGTGCAGACATATTTAACATTACCTTAGGGTATGGGGGGAGCAATGCAGATGGTTATAGGATAGCGTTATCAAAGGGAAGCATGGCAGTTCCAATAGACAGCAAAGTTACTGCAACACAAGGGCTACAGTTAGAAGAGTATGTGCAAATTATACACTTGGCCTGACCTTGGAAATTAAAGCAGTAACCTGAGGAATTTATAATTACGTACCTAGGAAGTAAAATAATTTCTTGACTCTTACTGGAAAATAACAGAACAAAACCCAAGTCCCATTTAATGTAATGAGGGGTCAGGCTGCCTATTGACATAATGAAAATACATGGAAGAGCACTGAGAGAGATGGAGAGACGGCTGGGGTGGGTGTGTCCAGGATCTGTGTTCCCTGTCTGTCCATCAGGGCCAGGGAGCTCTTGTTCATGAAATTTGAGTATTACTCACACAATACATTCATCGGGCTGGTGCTGTACAAAGTGTACAATGCTTCCCACCATCGCAAGAATTTAGATGTGTGAAAATGTGTGATACATTAGCTTCCTTCTGTCTTCTTTTTTAGTTCTATTTACAAAATATTTGTTTTGATCTTGCCTTTCACAGTTGGGTGAAATGAGTCACATTTATCAAATGGTCATGACACTATTTTGAGGTAAATTTAATATTTTCTGAGATTTTCTAGCTCTGCTTGCAACATAACTTTGTCCCAAAGCCACCATTTACTTCATCCCATAGGATCTTGTTGGGTAACAGTGTTATATCCCGTGCCAGACTTCTAGATGGACAATTAGATCAGATGTATCCTTGCTAATAGGATAAATGCACATACTGAGCAGCTACTGGATCTAAAGAAACATCAGGCATTAGAATAGATCAACAGGGTAACATATATCTCTTTGCACCAGACAACTGGATGAGACAGAGAAGATGACTGTGAAAGTACAGCAAAGATCATGATGACATAAAAAGGGGTTGATCACATTTTACGAGAAACAAAACCATGACTGAGTTATGCATCAATTCCCTATGCATGCCATCAAATATTTATCCTACAAAACCATGTGATCTACATGCTATACACTTTAGCAAAATGTTCCTCTAAAGACAAGTTGGGGAATTTTAAACACTATTTCCCTGTAAAGGCAAAATTTTTTATGTCAGACAGCACTCAGATGGAGAAGAAATACGCTGTTAAAGATAGCTTAAAATTTGCAGATACAAATGCTGTAGTTTGAAGATGGATAAAAGTAGATGCCTTGTTCTGCTGAAAAAGGGAGATTCCACACTGTAGATTCAAATCTATGCAATGCACTCAACCCATCATGATTTTCTAACCTGTACTTATTAACTAAGGGGGGTGGCAGAGCTTGATTTCACCAAAGAATCCCCAAGGATTTAAAGGACATATATTTGACCTTTCAGTAAAATACTTTCCTTCCCTCCCAAATGGAGACATTTCTCACCTCAGATTAAATCAAAGTCAACAGAAGAAAGCACCATGTTGGAAGAGACTGTTGAGTCCCCTCCTATCAAAATGCATGTATGCACAGGTCACATAAAGAAGTAATCTCTGTGACTCCATCCCACTAGCTTTCTGTGTGCACACTGTATGTTCTCTTGGGAGAAAGGAAATTAAAACTACATCACAAGAATCTCAGTATCTGGACTGATGTGGTGTGTGGTACTGACAAGGTGAGTGGGAAAGGGCTCCCAGGTACCTTTCCCATAGCTCTGCTGTGCATGAAGCAGGGGAAGAGTGGTGTTTCCCATCTCAGCCTGCTTACACGTCTTCCCTGGCACAGATCATTTATCTGTAATGCCCATAAAATACATACACAGACCAAATATTTTGCCTTTGGAAGAACTGTATTTTCTCAAATATGTGCTTGAAAATAAGTAAAGGGGCACACCCTACTACTTGGCCCCCTCCAGCCTCATCAGCAGTACACTGTGCTATACTACAACTGCGCTTGGTCTCCTTTTCAGGAACCAAACATAAACTTTTCCAGCAAATGTTCTTAAAGATTAAGTTTGTTTGCCAAGTAGTGCTGCTTTTGACCTGAGTAACAGTTGTGAGAAACCATTTTGTTTACACGGGAAAACTAGAAAATAGACTTCCCAATCACTTGTCACATACCAGCCACACACTCATTAGCCATGGTGTTTGTTGCAAGCAGAAGGAGAAATTTCTCTGGAAGCCATCATTAAAATATTTTATTCCCCTGGGCTGCACACTGCCATGTATTTTGCAGACATCTCATAAAAATAAGAGGAATATACATTTCAAGAAGCATTTTTTTTTAAAAAAAAAGGAATGCCTAAGAACTGCCAGCATCATTAAAAGTGACACTTAAAAGGATTGTGAATACAACTACTGCAACATGCTTTATCTGGAAATGTTAAAGCAAAACATATGCTGAAGTCAGAAGGAATTTTGTCTGGGGGAAGATCATGAAGGAAAACTGAGCAGAGATTTCAGGGTTTAACTCAGCAGGCAGTTCTGAGTGGGCAAGTCTTAGATACACCAGTTACAACAAAACCTTATCATGATATAAAGCTGTTTGTCAGAAGAATAGTGCCTGAGAGAGACAGAAGACATGAAGTTAACTGCTGAGTTTTCTGCTACTAAGGTAGAAAGATAGCGTGTCTCCCTCTGCATGTCATCAGAATCTGCTTTTCATTCAGGGGTCTGCTTTATTTACAGCTCTCCACTATTTCTATACGACTGTGGGCATGTGTCACTGGACACATGAGCAAGAATACCAGTTGACCCAGTAAAAACAAACCAAAGAAACAGAATGGTCAAGCTGCTGTACTTGGAGAAGCAAGAAATATACAGGCTTGATCGCTTCCCTAGCAACTTCACAGGTGCCCAAGCTCACATCCAGCTTGTACAGCCTCTCAGATTAAAAATAAATAATCACCTCAGTTGCTCCAATCTGAGGACCACAGGATGAGGAAAGCGCAGTCTGGGTTGTAGAGAACAGTGCTGATGGTTGACTCCATCAAGATATTTGACTTGGTACTGTCTTTTTGAATAAGAAACTGGAACCATACAAAACTGACAGTCACACATATAAAGAATTAAAAGCCGTGCAGGACACAGGCCTCAAAGTATCAGTACGAGACACTGCCCACACTGCTGTCTTTCTTCTGGAGACCCTTAAACTCAGTTTTTGTCACTCTGTTACTTAGTATTTTTTCTCAATTGCCTGGAAGAAGGCATTAATGCATTATTTGTGGGTGTTAGAGGTGACGGGCGATTAATAAATGGGATATGTCACTGGCTGAATGCAATTCGGACGTCTTGGCCTGCGGACTGCAAGTGAATGTGCTGTCTGGGGTTCCCCTTTGCTAACTTTAGACATCTGCATCTAAGCAAGCCACACAGATTCCTTTTATAGGCAATGGAGAGAAATAGGCATCTGACCTATTTCAGACATCTAGAAGTGCCTATTTTTCACAAGTGGTTCCAGAGAAAATGTAAAGATGCTGTAGATCTCTCACAGTTAGGTAAGTTGAAACCCTCCTATATGTTTAAATACAGACAAAGTGATTTTCATTGCTAGCTAGGATGCAAGAAAGCAGACCATATTTAAAGGAAAGGCAGTGCCTTGGAAAGAGCCTAATCAGAAAAGTTGTTGGTTGTCCTGGAGGGTAACCAGCAGAAGCTGATCTCCTATACACAGCTGTGACAATCCTTAGGCAAGTAGAGGGAGAAATGTCCACCAGGAGTGGGACAATTACATCAAGTTCCTACCTGGCACTGTGCGACCACTGCAGGAGCGCTGGGTCTGACTCACAATTTATTGAAGTTGATAATCTGGACAGAGTTCAGAGAACAGGGATCTGAATACTTAAGAGACTGGTAAACTTGTAAAGCCTCAGAGGCTAAGTAGCTTGTGAAGGAGACGTCTCTGGGATGACTCGATGACAGGCTATAATTTTGTACTTAGCGAACACAGCTAAGTGCAGGAAAACGGAGAATGGAGTCTGATGGTTGGAAGCTGAAGTTGCAGAAATTAAGTCTAGAAATAATTTACAGTGAAAGTAATTAACCATTGGAACAACTTATGACTTAAAGTCATTGACTTTCAACCACTAGCAATTTTTAAATCAAAGCTGAACATTTTAAATGGCCTAGTTCAAGTAAAATGTCATTTATATGTGTCTGAAGGGTTATGTTGTGTTGGATTGGATGATCACAATGGTTTCTTTTGGCTTTATAACATATAAATTAAAGCAAAATCCTAGCTTAAATGATATAGAATACAGAGATATGTGAGAAAGCACAAATATCAGAACTGAGAAGTAATTTGGGCAGAACACTGTGATCAAATTAGCAGCATAGCTTCTGATACTCAAGCTCATTTCTTTAGCACAATACTGTGTTGTAACAAGCCCTGATTTCCAGCCAGGATTCACTGGAAAGGTATATTTTCCAGATGTAGCAATATACAGCAAGTAGGCAAATCAATAGTATAAAGTGAAGGGAGAAATTAAGTTTTACAATAATAAAGCAATAATAAAAATATATTGCATGCGTGCATTGGAGGATGGAGTACATGTAGCACAAAACAGCTTAACTGGAGTCAGCAGTACTTCCACTGAAGTGCTGGAGGAAGTACAGTGGGAGCTTGCCCTAATCCATGCACTAACCTCTGTTTAAAATAGGTGTAATGATCTTGGATACTGCAGATATAAAGGAAGAAAAGCTTTAGACATAATGCAGACTTGGACAACAACAAAGTAAAAAATGATTGTTCTATCATGGGAGCATTTTGCAAATTTGTTTCTGACATTTTCTTCAAGCCGTGTCACCTCCATCACAATAAAACTACCACCCGCTCCCACTTTCTGAAAGACTTCTCACACTACTCCCATTTCCCCCATGCCCTTAAGTCTCACCATAACAAAACCTTGTGTTTTTTGCCTGTCTCTTGTCTATCTCTGGTTTGCCAGCCACCCAGGCCCAGGGACAGAGTGGGCTGAGGAGTGCTGGCTGCACTCAACAGCTCAGGGCTGCTGACCCTCAGCTTCTGCTTGGCTCAAAGGGAGCGAACCCAGAGCCAGATAGGAGAGCTAATAGGCGATACTTATCTTAATAGACTTAATGGACCTACGCATCTCCCCGGAGTCTGGAGGCAGAGCTTACATTCACACAGCTGTATTCTGCTGCCCTCCAAAATAACCCGCCTCCTGTGGGCTGGCTGCAGGGTGTGATGGTGGGCTCATGCCGTGAGACAAACTGCCTCCAGGAACTGTTAGGAGAGCGTGAGGTGGCTTGGGGCACAACCATGCCAGGGCCCATGCCAGCAATTTAGTAGGATCCATGGCCACGTGCCAGGGTCTGGGCCTGGGCTCTGACGCTGTTTATTTTATAGTGCAGACGCACTGCTAGGGCTGCCCCTCCTCCTCTCTTTTCACCGTTTGCTTTAGAAATGTAATATCCTCTGTCAAATGGGACTGATCCTCGCTAATGTGCTCAAACGTTATTGGCAAGGAGCTCCAGGCAGTCAGCGTGATCAAAGAGCCTTAATGCCTTACAAAAATAAACTAAATATAAACAAACTCTATGTATCATTTTCAATTAGACCATATACTACTTTCCAGCCAAGCTTGAAAGTACTTGTTCCAGGAGAATTAACTGAACTACAAACTCTGTTATGCTGCAAAAGCGACCTCTCCTTAGACACATCCTATCTCTCTAACTAACCGGAAAATCAGAAGTCAATTTACTCTTTTCCTAGTTGTGTTGCAGCCAACGTCATGATGAGAGGAAAATCATACTGGGAGAAAGAACAAGACCAACAATAACAAACTGATATATTCCTCAAGGTTTAGGGTGCAAAAGGCTTCACAGTTAGTAGAATACGATCAATCAAATCTATCTTGTAACAATAAACAAGGAATTGCAGTTGTATAAAATGAGTTTGTTTTAAAGTGGATGTTCAAAGGCATATAATCACCATTTGGTTTATGCTTTCACCATCTGTTTTTTATTGCTGACATTGTGGCTGTCATAAACTATGCAAAATATTTGATCCTGATATTCCGAAGCATCTGAGATTAGTGATGAGCAAAACCCAGAAAGTTCATTATTTTGTACCTCAAAGATTGATTTCCCTAGAATATCGCAGCCATCTGGATCAGCCTGGTGCTCAGTGGATAAGTTTCCATTTGGCAAAATAAAAATACTGGTACCAGCAGCCTTCATGGCCTCCTCAGGTGAAGCAAAGGAATTAGTAAGTGGCAAGGGAAAACACTCTACTTATTCAAGTCAAGGTTGAAGCAATTTGGCTGGGAAATTACTGCATTCCTTGCCCATGCTACACTAGTTGGGTGGACAAATCTTCTTCAGTTAAGTACAGAAAAAAGATTTATAAAGTCTCAAGGCAAAAACTGCTTTCTTACCAAAAGCTTGTATTTTAAGTGTCTCATTTTGCAATGATATTCTGAAGCAGAAGGTTTAATTATTTAGGGTCTGATCAAAACCTTATTGACTTCTGATCGGGAAGATAAGGAGCCTAGAAGCGTTAAAATTAAAGAGGGTTTTATATGATGGTTTTGGGTTTTTTTTTCCAAAAAAATAGCCTTTTATGTGACTGCTGCTGCTGGGTTTGTATGCACCTAACTGCTTTGCCTAAAAGTTATAAAAATATTTTTTTGACTGGTGTGTCAAATAAAGTTATAATTAGTTGTCAGAATGTTGCAGAATTCACACTTTCAAGTTTTTGTGTTTTTTTTTTCTTTTCTTTCAGGCTGTGGAACATTTACTTTTCTGTCTTCTGTTGTTGCTGCCATAAGTGGACTTCTGATGGGTTATGAGTTGGGCCTTATCTCTGGAGCTCTTCTTCAGATGAGCAGCATATTAGCACTGTCTTGCAAAGAGCAGGAAATCATTGTAAGTTCCCTGCTTTTTGGGGCCTTATTTGCATCCCTTACTGGTGGCTTCCTGATAGACCGATTTGGAAGGAGACTTGCTATTATTATTGCATCTTCTTTACTTGTGTTGGGGAGTTTGATTTTACTGCCCTATGAATCATATGGGATACTTATTGTGGGACGGATTGTCATAGGTATTTCCATATCATTATCATCAATTGCAACGTGTGTGTATATTGCTGAGATCGCCCCACAGCACAGAAGAGGCCTCCTCGTATCACTAAATGAACTCATGATTGTAACAGGCATTCTCTTTGCCTATATTTCAAATTATGCATTTGCCAGCATAACTCATGGTTGGAAGTACATGTTTGGCCTTGTGATTCCATTAGGTGCTCTGCAGGCTATTGCCATGTATTTCCTTCCTCCGAGTCCTCGATTTCTGGTAATGAAAAATAACGATGAAGCTGCAAGAAGAGTACTGGAGAAGCTACGGGAAACATCAGATGCTACTAAAGAACTTACTGTGATCAAGTCTTCCCTGAAAGACGAACATCAGTATAGTTTCTTGGACCTGTTTCGTTCAAAAAACAACATGAGGGCCCGAATGTTGGTAGGACTCACTCTAGTCTTTTTTGTGCAGACAACTGGGCAACCCAACATTTTATTTTACGCATCGACTGTTTTGAAGTCAGTTGGGTTCCAGAGCAATGAAGCTGCCAGTTTGGCTTCTACTGGAGTTGGAGTGGTTAAAGTGGTCAGCACAGTCCCAGCCACGGTTTTTGTGGATCAAGTTGGAAGCAAAACTTTTCTGTGTATTGGTTCTTCTGTTATGGTAGTATCGTTGGTCACTATGGGCTTAGTGAACCGTAACATAAATGTGAATTTCACCAATGTCTGTAGAAGCCAATCTCCAGAAGATTTCTTTCTCCAGAGAACAGGAAACCTCACTAGTGTCACCAATGGGAGTCTCAAGGACTTCTTTGCTAGCATGGCTTCACCAGAAAGACTGTCATTTGACGCACAGAGAAGCCCAGATGTTGCCAGGACAGGAGAACTGAACAGGACTGCCCTGGCAGGAGGCCAAAGCACCATGGGGTCTCACATGGAAAGTGAGGAGGTTCCTGTTGTCCTGAAATGGCTCTTGCTGGCCAGTCTGCTTGTTTATGTTGCTGCATTTTCCATAGGTCTTGGACCAAGTAAGTGTTTCATTTTTTTAACTCTTTGTAATGATTTACTTACAAGTGGATTAAGTGCTGGGATGACACTCCCAGCTTGGCATCAGGTAGTTCCCAAGCTGGGCAAAGCAGTGTTTTCTGCTAATATGTGCTGATATTGTCACAGACTGTCCTGATGGGCTGGGGGTGTACGCTTTAGGAGGAGGTCCTGCCCATTAAGGTCAATGGCCTTATCTCCCTTAATTTTAGTGAAATTAACTGCTCCTCTTCAGTGAAGTTAAGAACTGCTGTGAGCTTTGTACAGCAAAATTATGGGGCCCCTTGGCTGCTTTTCCTCTTCCTAGTCTGTTGTGTCCTTACATTGGGAAGGTTAAGATGTAGACATCTGCTGCTGCTAACTCATAAACCCAAGATAATTCTAAGCTCTAGACCTCAGTCTGATATGACACCATCAAATCCATTAAATGCCAGCAGGCCTGAATCCTGCTGAGGATCTGGTCCCCTGACTATATAAAAGTCTTCAGATATATGATAGACAATCAATGTGCCATAGACAGACATTCAGTGTACCATAGTTTATGAGTAAACTGAGGTATCATCACCACTATCTGTCCTGCACAGCACAAGTGGAAGAAGACAAGGGCATGTCACTGTACAGCTGAGGTACTGCTGCAGCTGCCATCACACTTGCAGGGCTCCCACTCTCTCCAGAGGAGACCATGCCTGCCATTCCCAGGCACTAGAAACTAAATCTCATTGTTTTGTTTTGTTTCAATAGCACTTGCATATTATTGTTTTTTGAAGGGGTCGATTTTTTAAGCCACACTGCAAAAACCACATGCATAGAGTCCATTATTTATTAACAAACTTTATGTGCTTTTGTGCCCTGGCTGAAACTTTCCTTGCAAACACACTGTACTCCTGCTGCACTATTATGATAAAAAGCTTGCCACAAAAATACAACCCAACAATTGCACTAACAGCAACTCCCCTGCAGTATTTATTTATTTTAAACATTACTCACTGGGAGAGCAGCATGAGACAAGCATTCATTGCCAGGGCAGCGAGCTTGACTGTGTTATTGCAGCATTATTCCCTCCCTTGTACACCATCTTGGGGCTGGATTCTGCTTTTGATGACATAGGTTCAAAACCAGGGATGCAGCCCTGAGAAGAAAATGTGACTTGAGCTTTTACATGGTTGTTTCAAACACATTTAATGACCCTCAAGGCAGGAGGAGGCATTCAGTCTTGGCCTTCTGTTGAAAGATGCTTTCCTTTTGACCTGCCTGTAAATGGGCTCCTGGTTCGATTTGAGTTGGCCTGATGTGAGGTTGATTATAATGATGTCTACTTCCATGAGGGATACAGAAACTGAGGTGAGTTTTCCAGGCTAATCTGCAAAGTCTTTGAGACCTGTGCTTGTTTGCTGACCTCTTTCTTGACTAAGAGCACAAATGCTTTCAGACAGCAGATGGGAAAGAACAGACATCATTTCAGCTCCAGCATGTTGAAACCATGGATGATAAAGACATGGTGAGTCAATTTAAACTGACGGATACATTTGCATGGCAAGTGAAGGCCAGGTCCAGGAGAGATATAGGTATTTCAAGACAATTCCATGCCTTTAAAAATACAATGTTTAGTTAAAATTGACAATGTGTAGAAAATGTAGGTGTCATGTAGAAATGTAGGAGAATCAAGAGATTGATGAAATCTGCAAAGGATCTATTGTGGTTAAATAGTTTGGGTTGTCTTGTATCCAGCCTTCCACATCTGCTACTTGCAGCCCAAATCCTTGAATGCATTTTAAAAGTCTAGCTTCCTTAAATCCTCAGCATGTCTTTCTTAGTGTAAAGAAAAAAAAACAAGTACCTTTGCTTATACAGAATAAATAGTTTTAACAGGTTTATGTTATTCATCTCTAAATCCGGTCTGTGGTCTGGAGCAGACCGTTGGCTGTTGTCTGCTCTGCAAGGGAAAGGAGGCATCGAGGCCGCACTCGCTGGCCGCTGCAGCACCTGGGGACAGAGGCACTGTAACCTCTGCACTGCTCTATTTTCAATGCAAATTATCATACTCCACGCGGCGTCTGCCCGTCCGGTGCTGGGGATGTGTCTGTTTGTGACCTACAGATCAAATCAGACTCTTTTGGACAAAGAGTAGAGAGGATCTTGCTCTTTTCCTTCCACCCCATGAGGCCATTTCTGGAACAAATTCACCCACTGTATTTTGAGTCCATGCTGCATTATGTTCCATAGGGATAAAGGAGAGTCTCTGTAGCACCATTAGGAAAATGGCACATTCTTCATAGGGCAGATCACATAACCTGAGCTCTACCATCTTTTTTTTAACTACTTTTGTCCTTTTTTTTTTTTTTTCCCCTTCCTTTTTGGGGGGGATTCTGGTCAAAGAGCTAGTTACAATCCAGATTTGCACAACAGAAATTTATACGTGTTCAATTTTTCCATAATTTCTCTTATGTCTCCAAATTACATGAAGTAGAGGGATTTTTAATGAACATGGCAATAAATATATTTAGCATATTTGCCATTTATCAAAGCACCCAGGCAGCACAGTGATGAGTGCTCAAAAATAGAGAGTGAGACATAAAAGCCATTTTTGCATTATAAAAGAATTCACAGACTAGCAAGCATCTACTTAGTCACTTTTTGATTCTAGAGTGCTCTGTATTTATATCATCAACCCTTAGGCAAGATAAAAGGAGTATTTCTGTTGCTCTGTTTCAGCTTAATTTTGTTTGACGAACTGCGATTCAACTGCTTGTTCACACTCAATTTCACACAATTATGAGGACTTTTTGTAGATGCAACAAATCAGTGTTGCATCACATCGCAGAACAGCACATGCTGTCTCTCCAGGGGTGTTTGCAGAGGCGTTTCAAGGCAGTGATTAGCTAAGGGGACTTGCTTGACATCCATCTTTGTCTTGAATTACCTTTGTATATCAGAAAGGTCAAACGAGGATGAACTGTTCTCATCAGGGAAAGATGCCTGCAGAGAGAGCCCATGAGAAACCTCTCCCTGGCTGCTGTGAGAGGGGCTCTTCAGTGTTCTCAGCACATGTTTGCAAGGGAAGGCATTCAAATCTGCTGTATGTGGAGGGAAGGAGGGCCATGAGAAATCTGAACCTCATAGAAATGCTGCTATGCCTTGCACAGGGAGCAGTGAGTGAAGGCTAATGAGAGAGGAGTGCAGTGTGGAGGTAGATTACCAATTTGTCATCCAAACTAAAAGCTCAACATGACCCTGGACATCAATTTAACACAAAGGACACATAGAGAAATTCTAGTCAAGGCCACAACCATGCATGACCATTTACTAAATGACACAGAGTTAACTGAAATAGTAGCAGTGTCTCATTTGCCAGATGCTCTGATCAAACTACTTGGGAGGGCAAAAAAATAGTGGTCGTTTCTTATAAAGTAGTGCTACCTCCTTCACTCATCACTGTTGTGTGGTGCAACATATTGAGATGCAGGAACCAGGAAATCCAAACTCCTGTAGTATCAGACCTATTTTCCAAAACAAGGTTGTAAATCTGGGACTATTGGGGTTGGATGGAGCATATGCCAGTTCTTGTGGTTAACAACTGTAGGACAGCTCTAGCCTTTTTGAAACAGAGTAAGTGCCCAGAGCCCTGCTGTTTTCCTCAAGGACCTGACAGACAAAATTCAGATGCTTGTTACTAAAGATCTGCTTCCCTGCCCTGATCATCTCCTTTTGCACCATTTAGGATCAAAGACTAAACAGGGAAAACTTTCCTCCGTATTTTCCTATATATCCCCTGAGTGAGAAGGTCTCACTGGATGATCTCACCAATAAGTAGATGAAAGAGAGACAGTAACAGCACACTAATTAATACAGGATGCAGTGTGGTCTGGAGGCAATCATCTTTATTGAACAAAAATCAAAGGGGCTTCAACAAGTCCTAGGCTGAGAAGCAATTAATGCAAACTCACTCTGGACCCAACAGAGCATCTGTTTTTTCAGTCTGAATTTGTTCTAGCAAATAAAAAGCAAGTAAACAAAACAGGACTTAGGTAGTACCTCTTTACACATATTGTGGGAGTGCAGTTCAAGGGGATCTGTGCACATCACAGGGACTTTTTGCTGTGGAGTGGAGAACATTTTGATTGAGAGGTGGGTGTTGAATGCATGCATTTGGACTGCATGTATGGCATTGGTGCCTTGCACGAAAGAGCTCTTCCTCCTCTGTCAGTCCTTCAAACAGGTTTCTGTATAACTGCAAAGGTGTTTAAGCAGTTGGCTAATGAACTTCAGGATAATCTGCTGGTGCAAATCACATCAGCTCTGTTGACATCATGTCAGGTTTATGTTGAGAGTGTGGATGCAAATCAACAAAAGCACCTACAAGTGGGACCGAGGGGCAGTTTTATGACATTGAATCATCTTCAAAATCATTTAGATGCATAAAGTCCAAACGTATTTATGTCGCTGCCAATCTTGGACTGAAGATGTTCTATTAGTGCACGTCCCAGAGCAGCCGCCAGCTTTGTGCCACTCTCCAGAGCCAAAGGCCAGACTCTCAGAGCTCTTCTCTTGGAGGCCACCACAGGCTCCTCTTCCAGGAGACTGCTCAGACTTGCAGGGATGTCCTGGCCTCAAGCGCTCAGAGCCTGCTTGGCACACACACAGCTGTGGCCACAACACATCTGAGGAAGATTAGTATCTGCAGGTGAAGAAATATCTTCTGGGTCTCAGGGCTTGGCACAAAAAATATCACATATATCTATCCACATAGATATAAAGTCTAAGAAATTATTTTTACATTTTTGTAGTGGAGAAATAAATGCCTAACAGGGTGTTGGAGAGGGGGTTTAGAATGTAATGCAAATCCTGCTTTTCCACATGGCTGTTACAGTCCCATTGCAGCACAGCTCCCATGCTTCAGTGCTTGTAGGACTGACAGTACTTTGGTATTGATTAAAACCTGTTAATCAGTGGAATTAAGTACCCATGGGAAACCTTCTCAGACTGA